GCGAGGTCATTGACGTCCCCATTCGTCGAATCTCCCAGCGCAGAGGTGTGTCGGCCGCGCACCTCGTGGCCCACGACCACTCTTCCACTCGTCTGAAAACGCGGCGTCGAAACTCGCCGGTACGAGAGAGCGCGAGATGCCCACCCTGGCTTGGATCTGCGAACGAGAGCAAAATCCCCGAGAGCCTCGATAATCGCGTCGCCTCTCCATACACGAGAGAGTATTTTGCGCCGGTTGATAAGGAGCCGCCAGTCCTCTCTCCACGCTCGCCTCGTACACACGCTCGTGTGCATCGTGTGCTACCGGTAGCGCGCGCGCGCGCGCNACTCTTCCTGTTGTCATCTCTTTCTCCCTCCCTCCCTCTCTCCCTCTCGAGCGCGCAGCCACGCTCCTTCGCCTGCCTCGTTTCGTCCTCGTCTCGTCGCCACGAGCTCCTGTCCGCCCTCTCTGTCCCTCCTTCGCCGCGTTCGGTCGATCACCCTCCGCTTCTACCTCTTCGTCGTCCGGCCGGCCGCTTCTCTCTCTCTCTCTCTCTCTCTTCCTCGTTCGCGCGCGATCCCGATAGCGGTTTCAGCTGGCAGCTGACGGTCGCGAGAGACGCTCGCCTGTCTCTCTCTCTCTCTTTCTCCCCCTTTTCACCAGTTTCTCGTTCACAAACCGTTGTCGGATCTCTTCCTCGCGCTGCCTCCCCTCTCTTCTTCTCCTTTATACATCACGGTGGCATGAAGTCGTGTGCGTGAAGTCACGCGTGTGTCGCCGAGCAAACGGACCGAGATTCGTTGCGTTGAGAGACGCGAGTTTCAAGGAAGGGCGGAAACTGAGCTGCCCTCTGTGGCGCCAGGATTCGGTTTTTGGAGCGTGAATGCGGGAGAGGGAGGGGGAGGAATGTCGAGTTGGGATTTGATTAATTGCGATGCGGATTTTGGGGGATTGGAGGGGGGGTTTGGATCCAGTCATATCGATGTCTTTTTTTTTAATTTGTCGAGAAGCGGATGAAGTAAGATTTGAATTTTTTTTCTTTTTGATTTTGAAATAATGGTTACCTATTGATTCGTTTCGATGATGAAGAGTTGGAAAGATTTTACGCTATATTATATCATGTCGATCTGTTTTCAAAATGAAAATATTATTTGCCAAAGATTGTTTATTCGTAGAAGTGTATCCGAATCTGTTTTCTTATGAATTCGAACAAAGTCTGTCCGCCCGTTTTCGAATAGGATTCTCACAATCGGATCTATTTTTAACACTTTGAAATCCTGCACTAAAGGGCAACGAAAGCACTCAACCGAGTAAATGGAGATCGTTAAAACGAATCACACTGTTCTTTTAAAGCGTCGTATCTCATCAATTACAGTCTTTTTAAACTTCTTAAACTTTATCCTCTAATCTGTTGCTCGAAGATCCGACATCGGATCAAAATGAATCCAAAAATAATCCAAAAAGGGACTCTCACGATTGATTAAACGAATAAGAACGAAAAAAAAAAAATCAATTTTAAATTCCTTTCGATAATCAAAGTCTCATTTTGATCCCAGAGAAGAGAAAATAACTGCAAACGTTCCCCTTCCTTCATTTTCATCCAGCTCGCCGTTTCGCTCGCGCGGATTCGAATTTCCCCCGGAAGCGGAGGATCGATTTTCGAATCGGCAATCGGAAGCCGCGGCAACAATGGCTCGTTTGAAAATAGGCGCGTCTCGTCTCGTCTGAACTCGCGAATGAACTTGAAGAGAAACTGGAGAACACGGAAGAAAAAGGAATACGAAGACGATTCAGGTTCTAGCGGTTGTTGAACGCTTCGCGTGACGTAGTCGTATCGCGCGCGCGCGCGCTGTTGGCCGGTGTTGGTGCCGCGCGGTGACGTCACTGGGATGGGTGGGTGCATCCGAGCCGGCCGATAACGACGAAGAAGTAACGACGACGAGATGCAAAGAACTTCCGCGTTCCACGAATCAGAACAGTTTCTTTGGTGCAGTTCTCTCGTTCGCTTTATAAACGGGAGCATATGCACGGCCACGATCGATCCTCGATCTTCATTAAAGTTACACTCTTCCGAAGTTTGATCGGATCGATCGCCATCCAATTAACCCGTATACAACGATCAATTCAACCCGTATGCCTGTATGCAAAATGATCGAAGTGGAATGGGTGGGAGAAACGTTCAAAATCGACGATCCCAGTTGATTTAGTGCGTGCTCAGCTTTTGTATGGCGTTGGTGGAGAGAGAGATTGTTGATCGGCGATAATGAGATAAATTAATAATCGTGGAATCGCTTATTAAAGGGGATAAGTAGAAAAGAAAATTCAGATTCTTTCTTCGCCTGTTCATCTCAATTTTTTGTTTCCAGTATCGTTGAAGAGATGTACAGTGATATTTTACGAGTACAAGTAAATATGTACGTGGGCTCTAAATAATGATTTTCTTCTCGCACTTCGATTTAATCAAATTATTATCTGTATAACTTTTTAGTATGTTATAAGAGATTTGAGAATAGATATTTTGGAAAAGTTAGGGTGTATCATCCGATTCTTCTTTCCAGCCGTTAAATTCGGGCGCATGTCGAAGAAGCAGCGGGAGAAGGTCGAGGACGAAGTTAGGTTCCACAAGGCACAAATGAGAGCGGCCTCCGAGACTGCGCCCGACAGCAGTGTGTTTGAACATCAGACCCCAAGCAGTTCGGATCAGCATCATCCTTTCAATGGCGGGTGAGTGAGATTCTGAGAAAAATCGTCATCGACAAAGGACAAATTTATCTTAATTAAAATCATCTTTTGTTTTAACATTTATTCCTTGAATATTGTAATATACTTTTCGAGTACTTTGTACTCTTTTTTTTTTCATAAATATATTAATAAGATATTCTAAACGAGTGGTCCAAGTAAAAGTGTTATTCCATCAATTAAACTCAGTTGGACGGGAAGTTTTTATTTTCATCTCGATTTGTGGACGCAGGTATACGTATGGCGGTAGTGAATACGCTTCCCCTGGCCCCGGCACGGGTGGGTCGGGTTATTACAATCATCAAGCGATGACGAACTACGAGCTTAGCGCCGACTACGTCGACAGCACGACGACCTACGATCCACGACCGACGCAGACGCAGGTCGCGGACACTGTCGCCCCTGATACGCCCTCCGCTGTCACAGCGGCTGGGGTACTTCCCAGCGTGGTCACCACCGGTGAGTATTTTAATTTACCTTCCCTCCCTCCCTCTCTCTCTCTCTCTCTCTTTCCGAGAAGAACGAGAAAGAAATATTTGGATCGGTTTAAAACTTTTTTCAAAAAGGAGAAATTCTTGATTTCGTTTATATGTGTAAATAATCATAGGTTAATTTGGAAAATGAAGACGTACGTTTTTTGAATTTCTGCTCACTTTCAATCTATTCGTTTTCCTTCCGCTTGAATCTTCCAATGAAAAGAAATTTAACGTATATATATATATATATTTTATTTCACAACATCTTTTTTAGAAGATTAATAATTTATGGAATATGGAGAAATTTGAGATTTGATCTTTAAAATCGAATCCATCAATGATGAAAATTCTTTTCAATATATCGTCGAAAACGATTTCTTAGATATAAAAGATAAGAGATCCATAAAGATTCTGCATGAAACTGATATTTCAACGGTTAATACGGTCTACGAATTTCATTGGCGATGCACATTTTCAATTTTGATCGAACGTGAATCTGGCCGACTGGCAGACGTAGCTGAAGCCGAGCCAACCCGTTAGTATATATTCCATTGAAGTTTATTGTTAACGAAAGAGTGGTAACAAGATGTCAATCGATGAACAAGCAGCGCCAAGTAGTACTGGTCCCTTTTAGTAGCACGCGGCTGATACAATTACTGTGTTTATCACTGCTGCCAGTTGACTGAACCAGACGCATTCGGTGAATAATATTGATATCGTGCCTTCAAGTAACGATCATAAAGATAGAATTGAGTTTGAAAAGCGTGATCACGAAAGTGCATTACTACTTTAAAAAACATTTTAAAAAGTCACGACTCTCGTAAATGCATGCGATCCTTCCGTTAATTAATTTTCGTATAATAAAAGGTTCCTCTTTTTAACAAAATCGTACACATATTATATGTTATATATTCAAAGCTAAGAAGAAGATTAAAAAGATGACAAAGAGAAAGAGCGCATTCGCTCGTTCCATCTATTTAAATATTTTCAAAACTTTCAATCACGTAATAGTAAAATAGATATTTAATTCCTTTTAGCCTCGAATAATACATACTGTTCTAATTATAACAATTGCCGTATTTAATTTATTAACGCGTAAAAAGAACAATTCTTAAATTCTAAATTTACCTGTGTAAAAAAAAAACGGGATCGATCGTTATGCAACTACATTTCATTCTCGAGAAAAGGCCTCCCCGATCCATTACCCGTAAATATCCTGCAGCAAATCCCTGCGTATCATCCTCTGTAAGCCGGTTCCATTCCACCGAAAAAACTCGAGGATCTCGCTCGTATCCGAGCAGCGTGATTTGTCGCTTAAGGGGGGGAAAAAACGGAAGATAGCGAAAAGAAAAAAAAAGAAAGGAAGAAAGAAAGATGAAAAATAACACGTAGAGACGAAAAGAGAGAGAAAAGAAAAAAAAAAAGGAACAAAAGAAAAATACGCGTATAGCAACGTGGCAAAGGGGGTACATAGACCGAGGTGAACCTTTGACTTTTCGCGTACCAGGGAAGTCGCTGTCTGCCTCGACGACCGGAAGCAGCACGGGGGGTGGTGGTGGCGGCGGTGGTGGCGGTGGTGGTG